TTCATTCATGTAAAAAATAAAAATAAAACTTTTGCAATTCCAGAGTTACCATTAAATAAGAAATGCAATTAAAATCATTTATGGATAAATTCGTTCACATGATTTTTTTACTTTGCTCATTGAAAAACTTGCTGATCCTTCAACTACTTCCTGTGATTTCTTCTTCATGGTTTCCGGCAGAAGTAACATCCTGATGATCATGCGAATCATGATGCAAAAAAAGTATTTCCATTAAAGTTTCAATACGGCCGATAAAACCAAGCAACAAAACTTTTGATTGAAAAACAAATTGTTTTGCAATTTCTCGAAATGTCAAATTGCACAATTGGAAATGCAGCCAATGTTCCTGATCCATAAGAGCAGATCTATTCACTCTAACTCTAGGATTTATTGCTTGTTTTACTCCTAATTGCACTGACTGAACAAATTAAAGCTGTTTTTACATGTTTGACCAAATTTGTGAAGATATTTATGTTTTTAAATGTGCTGCACTGGTTAAATAAATGAAAAATTTGTTACATTTATGACTTTTTAAAAAGAAATCTGCACTGTGTGAAGTCAGAGGAGCTTAATTTTTTCACATATTGTCTGTTTTATACCAACAAATTTGTAAAAAAAAAAAGAAAATCATAGAAGTTAGCACCGCAGCTTTAAAGGAAAACAACTTAATTGTGTAATTGTGTTTAAAATTATTTTAAAAAATAAAAATAAATGAAAAAAACTTGATAATTAGTCTAATTAATTTTAAAAACCAGAGAACAAAACCTGCATGGATTCACTAATAGATATTTAACATTTAAAACTATGTGAATTACTGAAATAATTATTTCATTTCCCTCTGGGATCAATAAAGTATTTTTGAGTTGAATTGGAGCCAGTTGTTGATTCTGAATCATTTTCGGGTGCATTCTGGTGAACCGCCAGGTGGTGGCGCCTCTTTACAAACCTCCAGTTTCTCGCTGAACTCCTCAGAGTACGGGACGAAGCGGCTGTCCTTGTCGCCTTTGTAGAACCAGGTGCAGCGCCGGACCTCTGTGGGCTCCTCCTCCCAGAACACGGCGCTGCGCAGGCGGTCGTAAAGCTGCACGTCGTAGCGGCCGCCGTCCGTCCGGACGATCACGTTCTCCGGGTCCGGTTGGACTGGAAGAACCGAAGGTCTTCAGACTGTGTGTGTGAAATATTCACCTATTCTCTTTGCGTTTCGGTACCTGAGTTGAACGTCTCTTCAAGCTGCAGCGAGTCGATGATGCTCAAAGGAAACCAGACGCTCTTCGACTCGACTTGCTTGCAGTAGAACCAGTGCGGCTGGACCGGTTCGTAGACGTTGTAGTTGTACGGCGTCATCGGACCTGCAGGAACGACGGCGCCGGCGGTGGCAGCAGGTGGAGGAGGAGCAGGAGCCGCCTGAAGATGTGAGGCAGGAGGCTGAAGAACGAAAAAATGTCTTTCAGATCAGGGTTCGTATAAAAATTCAAAGACTTTCAAACGTTCCCAGTAAAAACAAAGACAGTTTCAATTATATCAATTATTACTGTTATTAATAATGCTTTGACAGTTTCTACAAATTAAGCTAAAAATATAACAAAATTTAATGTTTTGAAATGTCCAATATCCTCTGACCTGAGAACAAAACAATAATTTAACAAAAATAACTAATAACATAAGATAATCTTCACAGATTGATTAGGAACTATAAATATTCATTACATTGAAACAACCCAAACAAATTTTGTTAAGGTAAATTATTTAGACAAAATATGAAATAATAGTTAAAGAAAATAATCTCTAAATAATCTTTTTGCTAAATTTGTTAACAATTTGTTAACAAATAGAAATAATTGTCTTTTTCTGTAAACTCCAGTTAACGATAAATCAATTACTACATTAGTTGACGATTATTGCAATAATCAATTAATCACAATTCATCAAAGTAATCATTGCAGAGCTCAAGTTAAATCAGACTAAATTTTTCTTGTTTTAGGTTATTCAGAAGTCATGAAAGTAATGAAGCCGAAGCTGCACAAAAATACAGACATTTTACATTTAAAATAAAAAGATAAAAGTCTGTAAATATCTTAGCCAAAATCCTCAAGCGGCAGCTTCAGCTTCATCTGGTTCAAATGCTGCAAAAACAACCTAAAATCTCTTTTTAAGCAAACTTGTAATTCTAAAATTGAATAAAAAACTGTTTAAATGACAAATCACCAGAATGTGCTAATTTTTTTCTCTGATTTAAAAATAGAAACCCACGTCCTTATTTGTAATTTTTTTGAGGATTTTCTAAACATCTAATAGAAATTTTGTGGCACCTACTGTTGTAAACGTCGGCCCTGCGGGGGAGAACATCTGCGGCGGCGGCGGCGGCGCGCTGATGGAGTAAGGGATTTGCGGCGCTGTGTGTGTTGGCGGCAGTATTTCCGGCGCCGGGATGTAGGGGCTGGCTCTGCTGCTGCTGGGCGTGTGGCGGTACGGGTTGTGAGCCTGCGGCTGCATCAGGGGGGGCGGAGGCGTCATGGTGGTCGGGGGAGGAGTGTGGCGGCCCACTGGGCTTTGGTAAACGGCGCCGCCGAACACTTGAGGCGGCGGGTTGATCTGTGAGCCTGCAGACTGTGGCGGCGGAGTTGGAGCCACGCTGATGCTGTGGGGAACAGAAACGGGTCTGGCGGCTGCGGACATGGCGGACGGGGGGCATGGCGTCTGGCCGATGGATGCGAACGGGTCAGAGGTCGTGGCTGGACTGGAGAAGTAGCTGAAGGTGGAGGAGGATGCTGGTGCAACGCTAGAGGTCTGACCAAGGAAGCTGTCTTCTTCTCCAACATCAGTGGAATCTTCTTCTAAAGGACAAAAATAAATAAATTTAATGGCAGCTACAGGTAATCTCTTTCTTCTTTTAATGGCCCCCCTGCCTACCCTTTGCATTATATCAACATATCCCCTACTCCAACATCTCTCAGCAAATGAAGTGTATCAGCTGTACTTGCTAACAACTGATGACATTTTACTGTGGAATATCATCTTTGCTGCCCAGCAGATACTGAGCTGTTAGCATCAGGGCTGAAACAATTAATCATATTGATTAATTTAATTGTCAATTAATTTAATAACTGTTTAATTGTTAGCTGGAGTGTATGGACACAAAATAAAGCAACATATTCAGAGGAGCAAATAAACCAAAACTACAAAAATATGTAAATTTTGCATTTAAGATGAAAAAAAAGAACTTTGTAAATGTTTTAGTCAAAGCTCCTGAAGTGAGTATTAGCTTCACCAAGTTCATATTCCCTGCAATAACAACTAATGCTGTTATTGCCTTTAAGTTTAGTTACTTATTTTAACAAAGTGAACTGATTTGTTTAATTGTATCTTTTAATGTATTTCTAATGTATAGTAAAGGCTTGCTCAGTTAAATGAAAATCTGCAGAATTTGGCAATTTATCAGATAAATTGATAAAACAATCATTAGTACGTCATGAGACTGTCATATAGAAACAGTCTTCAGTCAGAGGCCTGTTCAGATTTGTTGCAGTACTGACTGCTACTGGAGATTCTTCCTGCCTACAGCCTCACCATCCAAAACAATTATTTGAAGACACTTAAATGACAAATAAACTATTATTTGACTGAATTAAATTGATTTATTCTACAGATTGGACACTAATCCCACCTGGTGAACCAAATCCATTCAAAACAAAACTGGATGTGATCAATCAGTTATTCGTTTATTTAAAAGGAGGGCAAAATTTACCTTTTGTATTAACAAAGGCAAAACCTTTACTCGGCTATCAAAATGCTACATTTAGTCTCCAGTAGTTTGTAGAAACAAAAATGTGAGGTTTATGCACTTTATGTAATTTATTTGCCATTTACTGTAATAAACACCAATAGCAGGAATACTACAGCAGAAGTTCACGTCTGAGTTGGATAATCTAGCAAACCTGTCCACTATTTATTGTGTCTTTCATTCAATAACAACTGATAGCAGAATGTTAGCCTGGCTAGCTTAGCATGCTAACGACCTGTCCACAGTTTAAACATTTCCTCCAACAGTGTCGCTAACTCTCACCTCCTGACAGCACCGCCGGCCCGGTGGCCTGGCTCACCGGCATGAACGGCAGGTTGAAGTTAAACTCCGGGGCGCCGCTGAACAATAAATTCGCACTGCTGTTGGGAACATTGTTATTTTTTCTATCTGCCATTTTTCCCCCAGAATTACACGTAGCAAGAACCAGAGGCAGCCGGGTCAGCTGTCCAAAGAGAGCTTTTTTTTGTTTTTTTAACTGTTTGCCGATTCCTAAGGTGTCATCTGAACAGATCAATATGGCGTCTACGAAAGCAGATGATTTGTAGATCTGCTGTAAAGTTGCTGTAGTTGAAGATCAAAAAGAAACACTTCCTCTCACTACTGACGCCTACAGGTCAGGAAGACTCCTACAATTTTAAGTAAGTAAATATTTACTTAATAATAATGATAATTAATTTTATTTATGTAGCGCCTTTATAAACACTCAGTGAATTTACAGAAACCATGTAAAATTACAAATACTAATAACATCAAACAAAATTATAAAAGAACATTCAAATGCATAGATGCATGTTGGAAATGTTAAAAAATATAAACAGTAATAAAACATACACTAAAAGGTTGTTCTGAAAAGGTATGTTACAAATTGTAGATTGCAACTGTTGAGAAACATAAATAATGATAATGTTCATGGTTATTATTTTATATTCTACATATTATTCCTGTTTTTTTATTATATTTGTTCAAGGTAATTTGCTGATATTTCTTGCTTTGTGTTGAAGATATTTATTTGTAATATTCTTTGTTCCAAAATGTTTGCCACGCTCAATGTGGCGCACGCGCTGACATGTCATTTTTACGCATATTACGCACGGTCATGAACACGGGACTTGGCGGCTGTGACAAGCCCCGCCCCGCGGTCCGTCCGGGTGCTCAAATCAAACCAACTATAAAGTGACGCAAATTTCCCGCCCTCGTTTCTGCCAGAATCCTGTGCGACGGGGAAAGTCAACAAAGTAGAGGATTCACACAGGTTTTCCTCGCGTGTATTTTTGTCACTCCTGCTTCCCGTGACAGTTGAGCCATGCCTCCCACTCACGACTGGATTAACGACCCGCTGGGTGTGGTGGAGGGGATGTTCGGTAAGATGCTCCGGGCGGAACTTCTCTCTCTGTGAAGCGCGTGGAAGCCGCTAGCTAGCCGCGGCTAGCTGCTCCACCAAGCCAACAGAGCGCAGCACATGTTGCTGCTGCGCTTTTATCGCCCTTTAAGTCTCTTTAATTCAAACACCGACTCACCGCGAGCTCCTGCCGGAACCACGCCTCATTCTGGACCACAGAAAATGCCGCCGAACCCGTTTAAATGCTCGGTTTGTTGTTGATGCAGATCCTTCAGATTAAGTTAGACAACAACCCAGAAGTTGAGTTAGTTCATAAATATGAACCATTTCAAGCATTTACTTGGATTAATGCATTTGTTTTACATAAAAACTCACAACACACTTCTTTGTTGATTAGAATATCGCATACAGCAGTTTTAAAGACATTTAGTAGATAAATTAATACCTACTGGAAGGCAGGCATTAATTGTTAATTTACTGAACAGCATGTATAGCTCTGACACGACTAATCATCTAATTTAAGAATCAATCATTAACTTGAGTCTCAAATATAGGAAATCTGCTGAAAGAACAGAGCAGTAATTAAGCCAAACTTGTACAAAAATATATACAAGATGTTGCTCTACTTTTTCCTTTCACTAAACTTTCCATTAAAATCATTGGTTACGTCACTATGTAGCTTCTTTAGCATTGACCTTTCGTCTGTTAGCAATCTTCACAACATTATGTTTTAAATCAGTTTTTCTTGAACTTATGTAGGACTGAAACAACTAATCGTGATTGATTATTGAAATAATCAGCAACTGATTTACTAATTTATTAATTGTTAGCTGAGTAAATGGACTAATGAAACATAAGCAGAGGAATTCTTAAGCTGCACAAAAAACACATACATTTTGCATTTAAGATAAAAACTTTTGTCTATGAAAATGTTTTTGACCCAAACTTCTTAAGTGACACTTTTATCTTCCCGCAGTTCAGATTTACTAGATGAATGCTGTGATATTGTACTTTGAGCAATAAAATGTTTATTTTCGTATTTAAAAACAGAACTAAATTATTTATATGCAACTTTAAGATATTTTTTATTTAAGTGTTTAAATAAAAAATTAGCAGAATGTGCCAATTTTTTTTTTTTTTTTCAGACTAATCGATTGTCAGATTAACAATAGATTGTTTTCTAAAATTACCATTACCTGCAGTCTTAATCTAATGTAATAATCTAGTGGGTTTTATTTGCTAACTTTTTCACAGCTGCTTCCCAGAGCAGTCCGAGTTCAGGATGGGAGGCGAAGGTGGTGGAGTTTTTCAAAGAGCAGCTGAAGGAGAAAGAAGCCCAGATTCTGGTAATCCTGCTTCATTAAAATATATCATGACTAGAAATGTTGAGTTATTGTTGCCTTGATCAATTTCAATTAATGACGTCAAACAAAAAAACAAAAGTGACAGATTAAATATTTTACTATTTCCTCCACTATTCGTTCTGCGAGAGCTTCAATAAATATCACAAAATTTGGAAACATAATTAAATGCAGTCACTGCGTTTAACTGCACAAATTTTTGATTGTGAAATAATCGTGCTGCTTCTTCAATATTAAGGGATAATTGACTTAAATTAATCTCCTACATCTTGCTGAAAAGTTACTAGTAAGTTAGTTTTGTTTTATTATTTTAAGTGAACTGAGATATTAATATGAGAAACTGGACAAAAAACACTTGGGAAGATTTGGTATTTTTGCAGTGTTTCTCTGGTTTACTGATATAAAACACTTTAAGAAAGTGAAAACTGTTTCAAATGTTTTTCAAGAGCAACATTTGTGTCGCCATGAATGCTGTGCCAAAAATAAGTAAATAGTTTATCGTTATTGCATCGTGAAGTCACACGCTAACAAAAACACTCGCTTGTCGATCACTAGCTTTTGTTTGAGTGGTCAAGTTGTTGCTCTAAGTGTTAACGTACGCCTGATGTATTAAATAAAAAGCTTTGCTACTAATTGTCAACACTGTGACAATAGCAAAACAAAGTCTAAGGACAACTCATTTTACAAGAAAGTGAAAAGTTTGAATAAAAAGAAAGATAAGTCAGTTATGCCAGCTTGACTTTGACAACCTTAACATGTAGATGCGCGGTGGAATTTATTGTGTTTCGGTTTATTTACTTGGATTAATGCATTTGCAAAACTACTTTATTTAATCCAAAAGGAAGTTAAATGAAGTTAAGCAAAAGTAGATAAATAACGCCAACTCTGACAGATCACCAGTGGCGCTCGTGTTTAATTAGCTAATTAGCCGCCGCTGTGTTCAGGCATCACTTTATTAATGATCGTAAAATAAACATCAAGTTTGAAAACATAAAACTGTAACGGACTGAATGTTCTGTTCACTGTGGGAAATGTTTGCTTGATTTTTTTTATTTACTTTTGGTGCTGAATCCTGATCCACATAGCGGAGCTGTTGTCAGTCAGTTGCTCTCTGTCTTAGCGTAGCCAAGACAGAGAGCGAGAAAAAAGTAAAAAAAACGAACGGTTTGGAGTTATTTTTCCTTTCTTGCTCCGAGTTAAATTAATACCTACAGGTTTCATTTTATTAGGATTTTTCTGCCTTAGCAAGTAAAGGAATCGTCTTTCTGCCGTCAGTCAATAACTTGCAGCGCGTCTTTAGTGCCACAAACTATAACTTAGTTTGTGCATTTCTGAGTTTGGATCGCTGCCCCCTGGAAAGTCTCCAGCTGTTGTCTCACCTTTCCCTGGACTCAGGTCCCGTCTCTGAACGACGTCCCTCTGCACTACCTGAAGCCCGACAGTCTGGTGAAATTCCGCTGTTTGGTCCAGGACATGTTCGACCCGGAGTTCTTCATGGGAGTCTACGAGACAGTCGACCTGGCCACCAACGCTAGAGTGAGCGCTTCCTTGTTCCCTCCCCTGCAGACATTTACATAGCCTGCAGCTTCGTTTGCATTTTATCACGTTTTGGCTGCTCTCCTCTCATTTCCCTGCCTGACGCTCCCCAGACGCTGCGGTGTGGCAAATACAAAGACGTGACAGAGTCTGGGGTAAGGCCTCGTCTCTCCAGGATGCGGGTCGGTTCCTGAACGCCTCATTGCAGCTGCTTTTATCTGCAGGTGGACGTAAACTCCAGAAGCACGGTGACTGCAGAGAGACAGACGTTCTACTGTGTTCCCATCCCTGGAGAGAATCAGTGGGCCAAGGACATATCCTGAACCTTTTTCTGTTAGTTTAACATCATTTAGGTCTTTTCAAGGTTTGGAAAGTTCTGCATAGTTTTGTAATAAACTGCAACCTAAAGTAAAGATTTAAGGTATTAATTAATGAGTTAATCTAAAGTAGATTGATCTTATCAATTGACTAACAATTTTTAAGCAGCCATTTAAAAAATATTGTATTATTGAGAACAGTAATAAATGCTATGAAATAGTAATTAATTGAAATTTTTTTAGTTAATTCATATTGTTTTTATCTCCAAAGTGTTTTGAATTTTACGCACAAACGTTTCTCTTACCGTTGTAAATCCCGTGCGACTGAAATTGTTCCTTAATGCTGGCGCACGGCTTCGCGGAGACGACGAGTAACCAGGGCCGGGTGGTTCCCTCCACGTCGTACGTTCCCAGCAGACAGAAGCGCAGCTACGAGGAGGACGAGGAAATGGAGGTTCAGCCACAGAAACAGAAGGAAACGCATGCAGGTTAATGATCCACAACGCTGGAAAAATGTTTAGAAAATCCTGAAAATAAATTCAAACTTTACTGCTAGAACAAAAACGTAAAATGCTAAATTTGGACAAATCCAGGCTTTAATTTATTCTTTTTCACGACAAAATCTCACATTAAGAAATAATTGTCGACACTCTTAACAATGTTATTAATTGGCTCCTTTTTTTGCTTTAAGTTTCTTTTTATATATTTCTAACAAAACTTCAAACATATACATTGACTAAAATTATAAATAATTAGTATTTATTGGAAACATTCTTAATTTATATATTAAATAGCAACAAGGATGTCTGACGGCGTTTTACGGCCATTGTAGCTAAAATACATCCTGAAAACTGAATTTTTCGGGAGAAAAACTTACAAATTAACCTCAGGAAGTTTGACATGAATCTCAGAATATTTTCACAACAAAAGGTTTTGATAAGTTTAAGGTTTGCTAGAAAATGTTTGAAATTAATCTCAGAAATTTTATAAATTTTGTAGAAAAATATCAAAAAAAATTTATAATTACAAGTTGTAAGAGTTTTTATATAATTCCCCTTTTTTTTTACTAAAGAATTTTTTAAAAGAACAAAATTGCATGCTTTTTTATTTTTTTAAAGAAAACTGAAAAAGTTCTGAGGTTTTAGGAAAAAATTTTCTCTTTTTCTGTCTTCATCCCTAAATGGCGTTTCCTCTGTTTCTGCCTCAGCTTCCACGGGCGCGGCCGACACGCACGGAAACGGCGACTGTAAGCGTCAGGAGACGGAGGCTCCCTGCGGCCCGGCGGCGTCCGCCTCCCACCTGGACCTGAACTTCCCGCTGCCGGGCGAGAAAGGCCCGTCCTGCTTGGTGAAGGTGGGCTCCGATCGCCGGCCGCGGATTTTCCAGCAGCAGGTTCTGACAGGTGTGTCCCGCCCAGGTGTACGAGGACTGGGACCGCTTCAAACTGAACGACACGCTGCAGGTGTACGGCATCCTGTCGGTCAGCCCCGCGCTCAGCGCTCTGGCCGATGAGAAGTGAGTCACGTTTACCTGCTTCCTGCGTCCGGTCTGGTTCTGACGGCATGAGGGCCGGCGTAGAGACGAGGCAATGAGAACATTCATGACAAACTCAGAAATATTTAAATCTCAAAAAATTTCTAGAAAATACATAAAATTTCTGAGCCTCAGAAGTTAAACATTTTCTAGAAAATAATCAGAAAATTTTAAATTAATCTAATATTTTTTTAGAAAACACAAGAAATCCCTGAGGTTTAAAAGTGGTAAGTTTGTTCTAAAAAAAAAAAAAAAAAAAAAAGAATTTTTGTGAAAAAACAAGAAATTTCTGAGCTTGAAAGATCAAAAATTTGGCAGAAAAAAACAGCCGAACATTTTCTGGGAAAAAATTAAAACTTTAGAAACGCAGCAAATTTTAAAAAGTCAAACATTTTCAAAATTTTAAACTTTAGTTTGCAAATTCAAAAATGTTCGACTTTTGAAACAGAACATTTCCATGTAATTCACCATTTTGGAGAGTTTTTTTTTTTGTCACAAATTTTTAACTTGTTAAAATTGCACTTTTTTTTTTTCTGTAGAATTTTTTTGTTTTTTGGCAGTAATTTCCTCCTTGTTTCTGGTTCTGACCTGCAGGGATTTGTTTCTGGACCCGGCTATCGGCCTGGACTCGGCGGCGGAGCAGCGGGTCCACAGCCCGCCGGCGTCTCTCGTCCCGCGCCTCCACCTGCTCCACGCCGAGCAGCTGGAACACAACAACCCGCTGCTCCCCGGCGCCGCCCTGCAGGAGAACGGCGCCTGTAAGGAATCACAGCTGAGAACGTTGTTTGGACAAGGACAAAAAATTATTGTCCTTCAAGAATCAGTGAATTTCTGGACTTTCTAAACCTCCTCTCATTCCCTAAATAATATTTCCTTCCACTGAACCTTTTACATACGTTTTTCCTTCCACTAAACCTCCCAGTTGTTTTCTTCCACTAGTCCTTCAAAATTTAATTATGCCCTCTATAAAAATCTAAATTGTTTCTGCTGCTGTCCCTTCAAAATAAACATTTTTATAGTATTTTTTCCTTCCACTAAATTTTCCACCCGTCTTCCTGTCCTGAATTTATCCAGTTATTGGTGTTTCTTTGTGTTCAGACATCCCTGATTTGTCCCGATCTTTTTGATTTTCTCTCCTGTTAGTTTAAAGTTTGTTTTTTGATCGTTTCCATGGAGATCAAGTCAAGTTTTTTTTTGCTGTAAAGTCTTGAAGCCAGGCCTTCTTTTCGTCTCCATGGAAACGCCCTTTGCCCTCTCTCTCTGCAGTTTTGTCGTCGGCTCTCGGGGAGATGGCCGCCGTCCGGGCCGAGCTGCTGTCGTACTTCACCCACGTCCTGCTGGGCGACGCTCTGGCTGCAGAGTTCCTGCTGCTGCACCTCCTCTCCAGCGTGTAGGTCCGGTCCGGTTCGGGTCGGAACCGAAACCGGCCGCAGCCGCAGCTAAGCTAGCGTCTCCGTGCTGTCGCAGGTACTCCAGGCGAGACGTTCTGCCGCTGGGAAAGTTCACCCTGAACCTGAGCGGCTGCCCCGCCGCCGCCGCCTTCACCCAGCGCCTCTACCAGATCGTCCAGCAGATCGTCCCGTCGGTGAGTTCAAGAACGCAGGAAATCAGAGCGTTGTTTTCTAAAAACTCACTTTAATACATTGCCAACCCTCATTGCTATCATTCAGGAAGCTTCGCAAACCTCTTACTTCTGCTAGAGCAACTTTTTTTTGTCAGTTTTTTCTTCCACTTAATTTTCCATTAAATGCCTGCATTCAGCTTCTTTAGCAATGGCTAACCCTCCTTTTTCAGGATGTTGAGGTCAGTGATCATCTGAAAGGTGCTGGAAAGTATTATGAAAATGTTGTTTTGTTCCTTCCAATAAACTCTGAAAATACTTCAATCTCAGAACTTCCCATTCAATCTTTGGAATGTTATCATTTTTTCCTCCACTAAACTTTCCTGTTTTTAGTCTACTAAGCATTCAATCTTCTTTTCGTCCTCTATACCTTCCAAATCAAAATGCTTTTTATTTCCACTAAGTAGTCAAATCTTTTTTCAATACTCTGAACCTTGTTTTTATTTCCTTAAATCTTTCAAAGTCTAACTTTTTTCTTCCACTTAATTTTCCAAACATTTTTATTCCATTAAACCTTTCAAACTTTTTTCAGGCCTCTGAATATTCCACATTTATTCTTCCTGTAAACCTTTCAAATGTTTATTTTTTCCTTCCACTAAACCTTCCAAATGTTTTGTTCCAGGGATCCTCAAAGCCGAATTTGTACTTTTAAGCCTTCTAACTCAAATTGAATATAAATTAAAACGCATCGAACTGTTATCATCTGAATCAGTAGAACCTCTGCTGTTTTCTTTTTAAGTTTTCCTGATTTTGTTGTTGTTTTTCATTGATTTTGCTGTTATTTCCTGTTATTTTCCAGTCGTTCTACCTGGCGATGAGCCTCCAGAACTTGAACCAGATGCGGCTCGTTCCCAGGAAGGACTATGTGGCCAACCGGCTGGTGAGCGGCGCGCTGCAGCTGGCCAGCAGCACCTCCCTGTTCCTGGACGAAACCCAGCTGGAGCCGGGGCAGTTGGACGCCACGGGTGAGGCGCCGCTAGAGGGCGACGGCGGGCCGCCGCCGCATGGACGCCCCTGACTGTGTTTGTGCCGCAGGTGTGCGTAACGTGACGGCGCTGGGGAACCTGATCACCTGGCAGAAGGTGGATTATGACTTTAACTTCCACCAGATGGAATTCCCCTGCAATATTAACGTGCTGATCGCGTCGGAGGGACGCTCGCTGCTGCCGGTGAGCACAACGGTCCCAAACCCGCCCCCCTCCGTCCCCTCGGCACGGGTTGGGTTTCCTGCTGTCGTCATGGCGCGTGCTATTCCTGAACGCGGCTCTGGCACGTTGCCATGGCGGCAGCTGTCAGCCGCAGGAAACAGTCCTGGAGGAGTTTGGTTGGCGCCGTGTACACAACTCCTGGCTAGCAGGGGTCAGAGGTCAGCATGGGCTGCTGATGGCAGAGCTGGGGAGAAAATAAAACACAACAAAGATCCCAGGAGTGTTGGGGATAAAAAATAGACATGAATTACATTTTTAAGATAGTCATATCAGGAGAGTACAGTTGAAATATATTTTTTAGAAAGTTGTAACATTATGAGAATAAAATATTTTGGGGAGAATATGAGACTAATGTCATAAAATTACAAACGCCGTAAAACGTCCTCATAGGTGTTTAGAAAGATGAAACTCGAATCCATTTAAAAATGTTTTCCATCTTTATTGCTGACTGGGTGTAATTATTTCCTCCTCTTTTCCTCGGCAGTCCGACTGCCACATACACCTGCAGCCTCAGGTGGCGCCGCCCCACCTGGAGGAATACCTGAGCAGCATCCACATCCATCCGCAGGCCTCATCGCAGCTCAACAAGTTCAGAGTCTTCCTGAGCCTCGCTCGGCTGCTCGAATACAGCATCTCAGACGAAGTGACAAAGGTCTCAACGCCACACTTTTAAGACAAAATGTTCACAATTTAAAGTTACGTCAAAATACTTTGACTCGACATTTTGAAAGCACTTTGCAAAATATCAATTACTTTCAAACTAAGATTTTTCAAGTCAAAAATTTTGAATTTTCTTCAACTAAAGAAATGCTAATTTTAAACTTTTGAAATTCATGAATTTCCAAGTTTCTTTTAGGGAATTTCTAAAATGGATTTCAAAAAATTGACTTTTTTTTGTTTGTTTTTAAAACATTTTTAGACCGCTGTCCTGTCAGTTGGCTCGGCTTTGAACCGGTCGCCATGTTGTTTCTGTTTCGTCTCCCCAGGCGGTTGAAGATGACTTCGTCGACATGAGGAAGGACGACCCACAGAGCATATCTGCAGACGACCTGCACCGGATGCTGGTTGTTGCTCGGTGAGCCGTCCGAACGCGGACCGGTCGGGTTTCTAACGCCTCATGTTTCCACATTTCTGTCTATATGCTGCTAATGTATAGCAGGGGGACACAACTTCGCAATCCTTACCATTAAAGAAGAAAGTAAAATCTCATGCGAATAAGCTCGTTCACGCGATAACTCATTAAACACCATAGCGGTGATGAATGTGAACACTTACATGAGACGTATCCATAATTTGGCCATCAGATGAGACGTTAGCATGTTGTTCAGGCGTTGGGGCGACAGACTCGACATACAAGCTACCAACTTTGACAAGCCAGGAGAGCAAACGTAGTTTGAACGTCCGCCATGTTGGCCTCGTTCTTCGGAGCGTGACGTTACGAAGCAGCTTTTCGATAAATTGTTGTCGTCATTTTATGTAAGCGCTATGCATTCAACGGGTTAGAATGACGGACAACTTGCATAAACTCTGGTGGGAAGTTGCTTATTGTTCAAACAAGGACAACCTGTTCTCGCTAGTTTAACAGCCAAATGTAGATCACGTGACCCATAAGAGGCGGGAAAAAAGTTTCGACACAGCTGGAAAACCGCTGCATCCTAGCTTAAAAACGTGTTTTATTTGAGTGATTTCAGTTTTACGGCTAATGGAAACCGGCTCTGTGTTCTGCAGGCTGCTGTCGCTGAGTTTGGGTCAGACGTCGCTGTCCAGAGACAGCTGGCTCCGAGCCAAACACATCGAGACGCTGCGACGGAGCCGTATGGAGCAACATAAGAGCGTCAACGGCAACGAGCCCTGATCACAGCCACTTCCCTTTTTGTTTTGATATGTTTGTAATAAAGACGTTTTTTAGGTGCCCTTCAAGTTGAAATGTTTTTGTATACTAAACTGGAAATAAAATTTAGAGATGTGTTCTCGTTTTTGAGTGAAAATGTAAAGGATTGTATGCAAAAACTAATTTTGCTATAAATTGAGGCTATTTTTTAAAGTCCTTCCTTCCGGTTACGGTGATAAAAAGGTAAATTGCCCCCCAAAAATCAGTTTTTTTTTTTTTTGATGTAAATTTGCTAGAATAAACTCCAAATTTTGAGATTAATCTTAGAAATTTTCCAGAAAAACATTAAAACAAAATTTGAGCTCCATCCTAGAAATTTTAAGGAAAACCTTGAAAATTTGACTTTTCAATCTCAAAATTTTTTCTTAAACTGAGTCTAATGTCAAAATTTCAGTTAATTTTCTAGCAAATATTTTACTTCAAATCAGAAACTTCCAAGTTATTTTCCAGAAAATTCCAGTTTTTTGGGTGAAAATGTTTTATAAAAATGTTTCCATCTCCATTGGCACTGAATTGCTGCAGAGCAAAATTAAACTTTATTAAAATGGTTAATTGTTTTCAGTCTTCTAATTGCCAACATGAATGGCTGTCTAAAAACAACATACACTGGGTCTTGCATAATATTCCCAGTTTGATAAATTTATTTTTTTATTAGGGCCGACAATCATTAAAATAAAATTCACTCTGAAAATATAAACAAACGTGTAGAACTTTTAGAATTTCTGAAATTATGTCATTGATGCTTTGAGATTCAACTTATTGAAAATTAGTAGCACGCCCATAGATAAGAATAAATAGGATACTTTAATATACAATACAATTTCAGTACACTGGAAAACAATGACGACAGTCAGTTGGTAGAGGAACGATATGACTACAGACCAGGAGGATGTGCTTAATCGGTGCAAATAAAATACTTGAACATGTTTAATTGCACATTGACGTCATGATGTTGGGTCCTAATTGGAAGGAAAAAAAGCACTTGATGTGAAAAACAAGATAAATCTCACCCAGCAGATAATCTGGAAAAAAACAAAAACTTGCATATTAGAAAACAAAACAGCGACTCGTGTTCATCAGGAATGTTGCGTTTTTCCTTTTCACCGCATCGAAAACTTGAGAACTGTTCCAGTGTTCACAACCTTAGCGAGAAAACGTTGCACTGCAGGAAATCACCCTGAAGCATTGGCAGCGCCACCTACTGTCAGCAAATCTACAGAGGCCCAACACTGCCACAATTCAACAAATAAGTTCTCAAATATTCACACATGTTAAACAAAACTTAAACATCATTTTAGTATTTAATGCTATAAGTATATTATATACATACTTGTAATAACATCAAATACACATTTTAATAAACCAAATTATTTCAGAAATTATTTTTAAAAAATTTGGGAACACTCCATAATGACAAAATAATTTCATAAAGCAACTCAGGACTGTAAAATAATTAGATGCCATATTTACTTCATACATTTTAACAATTAATTGAAATTATGTTCTTTTATTTTGGTTTCCTTCCACTGAACTTTCTGTCCGTTTGTAAATGGCCATCTTCTTGAAAATTTGATATTTATATAATTACAAGTACATTGTTTAAAATTGTATTTAAATGATCTCAAGTATAAATGATTAATGTATATTTTTCTTCTTCCACTGAACTTTCTGGACATCTGAACAGCCAGCTTCTTGGTTAAAACTTTTTTTGCAAATTTAATTTCCTTTAGATTGTCATAAATTTATTTAAATTATCACATGTATAAATATTTCCTGACTTTGTATTGAATTGTGGCCATTCAAAGCAGGCAGTTTTTTTTAACGGTCTAAACAAGACAAATATACAAGTCTACCCGATTTCAGCTGCTGGTGAGGAAAATGGAGTGAATACGACCTTTGACCTTTTATCATACACAACATGATACAGAGTAGGGCCTCTTAAGATCCTTATATTTAACAGCAACAATAAAAACTAATGAATTTAAAAAGAGCTAAATGTTACTTCTTCAGGTTAAGTGCATGTATTGCAAGAAAAATACATGCAAAACAGGAAGTTTAATCCAATGCATCCAGGGATCTACGGCAGCAGCACATGGAGACAACCTACAGTCAGTGTCTACGTTTCCATAAACAAAACAATAGATTAAATAGAGACCCTGAACATATTCCCAGCAGTGCTCTAAATGTAACACAAGAAGGAAATTAAAAAAAGGTAGATTCTGCATCGAATACCTGAAACATGTAATTCTGCCTCTCGAGTTCCCAGTTAAGGCAAATTTCTGCTTGGGGGAGTGCATAAAGCGTCAGTGCTTACTGTGAATCTGCATATCTGTGTATTATATGCTACACTCCGGCGCCGGTCAGACCGAACCCAAACCCATCCCTCAGAAACGAGCCGAACCTCTGATGGCGAATCCAAAAAGAAAAGCGGTTGGGTCAAACACGACTCACTGTACATATGAACAACCAGGATACTCTCACTAGTTCCTACGGTCTAAGTGACTCAACAACACTTATGTTAGCTAATAACTATGTAAAGCGTGTCGTCTGGCTAGTTCAGTACATTTATACACAGGAGGGTAGCACGCAAACTTTACCATCCTTTGGGAACCACAGATTTGGTTTATTTCTACATGAAGCTCAGGTCCAGCTTAACGGTGATCTGCATATATGGGATGAAATGAAGCACGATTAAATCAAAGCAGACCAGCTAATGCTAGCTAGATGTTACCACAAGCAGAGTTGGGACAGCATGATCTTCACGTTTCAGAAAGTAAAAATTGTACAAGAAAATAAAACATGTAGCAGAACTTGATCAGCAGAGTGGATTACTTCGAAAGCTGAAGTATTTTACGGAGCAGAAAGTGCGTTTGTTTACTACAACGGAGCTTTATGGCCAGACTAAGAATTTGCGTTACTTTTTTTAAATTGCAAAAAAAAAGTAACGCAAGAATAAAGCCGTAAACAAAAAGGTTGCAATAAAAATCACAATCACGCAACAAAATTGCTATATTATGAAAAAATACTTAAAAAGTTGCAATTATACCATAATTACAGCGTACTAATACATGAACATAGTCGCAATCATACAACAAAACGGTTGTAATACTATGAAAATAAACCTGCATTCATACCAGAATATTGAGAGTACAGAATAAAACAAAAATAATGTAATACAACAATAGATGTAATAATACGAGAATAGTCATAAAGAGAATAAAGTTGTAATAATGGAATTATAGCCACAGTCATACAACAAAAAGGACGAAATACTAAAATAAAGACCTAATAATATCAGAATAAAGTAATATTGGAATAGGAATAAAGTTGACATAATACAAGATAAAGTTGCAATTTTAGAAAAAGTTGTAATATTACAAGAATAAAGTTTTAATATCGGAATAAAGTAGCAATATTAGCAAAAATAATATGATAAAATAATAAATGTTAACTTTTTTTGGATAATTTAGCATTTTTATTTTGTAAATGTGACTTTATTCTCATAATATTATGATTTCATAATAGTAATAAAGAAATAATAATCCTGTGAGTCTGGCCATAACACTCCGTCGTAGTGCATGGAGTTAAAAAGGTTTAAGTGTATAAAACGGTAAAATTTCCTCTTATTACAGTTTAAAGTCAGATGGACATCTTTCTCTGCAAACATTAAAAAATTATTTTCAGGTCCCAGCTTTTGTTTTTCTCAAAGTATTAACTCAGTTTTTGGTTCAGCAACAGGAGGCAGATGAAGTACCGAACATAAGGTAATGCTAATGCTAACCAGCTAACATTAGCAAGGACAGCAAAGATGTAATTAGCTTTAAGCTGTGCTTAAATCGAAATGCTAACAAATTTAAGGTGCTTTTAAAACTCTGAACCTCAGAATTTTTACTTTAATTTTCTAGGATTGCAGAATTAAATATCTTTTTCTGTGACACTAATTTTCTGTGAATAACTAATTTTATTTTAAATCTATTTTGAATATTTGTTGTTTTTTTTCTACAGACCTATGCCTATTATGGGATGTTTATGGATTTGGATGGAATGTTTGCTGATCCCAATTATCTAATTTCCAAACACACTACTAAAAAACAACCTTGTAATTATTCTAGTTCTAAATCCAGCTAGTACGCTAATAACATAGCAATCTCCACTGTGAGGCACCAATAAGCCATAAAGGAGGACATATATCAATATTTTTTAGTGTGCAAGGTGGTGTGGAAAAACAAAATCAGTGCTCAAACAACAAAAAAAGTAGGAAATCCGTACTTGTGTGCATGTAAACATGGTCGCTGTCATGATGGGAGGGAGTGGTCATTTAAAGCTGCACTTTGTAACTTTTATCAAAAAAACTTTTTTATATAAACTGTCACCATGTAGTGACACTATGAGACAGATAATTTCTAACCAAAAAGAAAAAAAAAAAAAAAAAGAAAAAAAATCAAGCTCCTCTGCCTTCTCCCACTGCTAACTAGAAACAACCAATCACAGCCAGGAGGCGGGTCTTAGCGCTGCCAATCACTCTTCAGCTAGTTCACCACAACAGAGCCTGCCATGGATGCTAAAGCTAGTTTGCATGGACAGACGGTATTCCTGTAACGGTAAGTTGTTCCTTCAACATTAGCGCATTTAGCAATGCGTTCACAAGCTTGAGTGACAGCAATAAGTCCCTCCTCCTGGCTCTGATTGGTTGTTTTTGGTCTGGAGCGGTAAATTTCTTCAGACAGCAGGACTAGCTCAGGGAGGAGGTGAAGAAAATCAATGTTTTCACAGATTATCTGTCACAACATGTTGCACTGCAAAAACACAAAATGTTATCAAGTGTTTTTGGTCGAATTTCTAATATAAATATCAAAGTTCACTTGAAATAAAACAAAACCAACATGCAGGTAACTTTTCAGCAAGATATAATAACTTGTTTTAAGTCAATAATTCCTTAATATTGATGAAAAAGTCGCAGCTCCACTGATCGTGGGAAAAACGTCTCGTTATGAATGAACTCTGCCAGTGGGACCTGAACTTGGTTGCTAGGCGACGGCTCAATGGTTGTCAGGCGTTGCTAGGAAACGATTGTGAAACAATCGGCCAATGGGACTGAAGCTTTTTCCTCAATATAAAGGATCAAACTCTATTTCTTGCAGAAAAGTTACTTGTAAGTTAGTTTTCTCATTTCAAGTAAGATATTTGTACTAGAAACTAAACCAAAATACTCAGTAATGTTTTGCGTTTAAAAGAAATATTTTTGTAAAAGTTGCATACTGCAGCTTGATGGGCGAATCTAAGAGTACATTTATTGGCCTAATAATGACTCTGTGCAAGCTTCTGCTGATGCTACCACACGGGAGATGACCAGAAAATCCTGCTACAGGAGGAGAGACACGGCGCTCTAGATCTGGATGATCCTCGTCTGGCACTGTGTGAACATTGCCTTCAGGTCGCTCTCCTGGGCCTCGCTCACAGCGTCCGGGTCGGGGCTTTTCTGGACCTTCGCCACGGCGTAGTTGAGGCCCTGCGTGAGTCCCGCCTGCGTCAGGCTGGCCACCTGTACCATGGAGCTGCGGATCTTGGCGAACGGCGACACGACGCGGCTGCCGTTGCTGTCGGCGGGCGACGGTCCGAGGCTGCCCTCCATCAGGGAGCTGAGGCTCTTCTGGGAGCCGCCCGACGCCGCCGAGCTGGGCCGCTGGACGGACAGCAGGTTGGAACCGGAGGTAGAGGTCTGGACGTCCAGCCGGGACGGTCGGGGCAGCTGGGCGTCCTGGTTCTGGGTCTGCAGGTTGGATTGCTCAGAGTCTGCGGGGGTTTTCTTCTGCGGCGGCGCGACCCCGGCCGCCGGCAGCTCACCGAACACCTCCACTGGTTTGGTCTGGGCGTCCTGAACGAACTGCTGACAGTAGGCGTCGATGGGTGTCCCGAAGTCAATCAGCAGCGCCTCTTCCGCCAGCGACGCGGCGCCGGGCGACTTGTCGTTGATGTCAGAGACGCCATCTTGGCAGCTGGTGACGTGGATCACAGACGGGACGTTGAGTTCGCCGCTGCCGATGGACTGCGAGCGGCTGCCCAGTCGCGGGTTCGACGCCACGATACCACAGCTCGGCAGGACGTAGTCTACCTTGTCGAAGGAGCCGGAGCACAGGTGCTCGGGGTCGGAGTTGTACGAGTCGGAGTCCGAGTCGTTTTCGTAGCGCTCGTCGCCCCGGACGCTGTGCGCGGCGGCGCCGGGGTTCCCGTCCGACGTCTCCAGGCTGCTGTCCGACTTCCACAGGTTGACGTGCATGGTGGGCTTGAGGAAGTTAACCGTCACGTCGGGTTTGGAGAAGTTCCCCAACTTTCCGAGCGGCTTGAAGGGGCCGATGTTGACGTTGGTTTTGGTCTGTTTCACCTTCTGGTTGAGGGAGGAGAACTTGTTGAGGAGGAAGCTTTTCCCCTGAGCGAGTCCAGAGCCACCCGCCGCCTGACCTGCAGGCTTGTTCTGGATCCCCATGATGTCCTCATGAGGTTTACTCTGCCGCCTGCAACACAGACAAACGCCAAAATTACTGGACCGAAATTATGAATTGTGATTATTGATAATTGAAGTGCACAACTTCCTGGGAAGAAAATTTATTCACAGCAGTAAATGAACAAAGGCTGTACATGATACTCCAGTTTTGTTTACACTTCAAGAAGGAAGTCATGTTCAGTGTCTTCTTCTGAGGCTTTTGCATCATTTCCTTCAGTGGTTCTTGGTGCAGCGCCCCCACAGGCGAGGAGGGGAACAGGTTTTAAAAAAATAAAAAATTGTTCGTTTGCATTGACTTGAAGCAATGTGAACGCGAACCACAGCAGCTGAAAATGTAACGCCTGTTCCAATCTAACCAGGACAGCACAGGGCATTCTGGGTAAAAACAACCAAAACAAACACACTAGTCCAGCACTAGCAGGAGAAATGGCTCGACAAAAGAGAAAACCGACAACCACTAAAATATGACGCTACTCTATTTCAGTGGTTCTTGGTGCAGCGCCCCCACAGGCGAGGAGGGGAACAGTTTGGTTCCTTTGACTCAGTGCAGTGAGAAAGCAAATTGCAGCAGCTGAAAATGTAACAAATGTTGCAACTTTGGTCCCTAATAGAACTGAGTCCACTAGGTGGGAGAATACAGTGAAGTTTGTGTTTGTAAATAACATGCAACAGAACTGGTATGAATACTTTTGCACTCCTTCATACTCGCCTCTCCAGCTTCTTCTCGATGACGAGCAGGTCCAGCCCGGAGGCCTGCTTCGTTATGCGCAGCATCTCAGCGATGCACTGCAGCGTATCTGAAAAATGTTGCAACGCAAGTCATCACTTCATGTTTGTCACCTCACAACATAGGTGTCAAAGTCAGGGTCTGCGGGCCAAATCTGGCCTGCCATAACTTGTTATATGGCCCTCTAACATGACATTATGTTACAAATCAAATCAAATCAGTTTTTGCCCAATTAAAACAATTTGAAAATGCATTCAAGTTCATTTAACGTTAAGTCGTGATCACCAACAGACCCGTCGTGATGATTATGCTGGACGATAAATTGTTCCAGAAGTTATTGCGATAAATGATAATATTGTTGATTTGAGACAATTCTTTCATCATTAAATCCTTCCACCACCGGGCCTTTGAGGACATTTATGATCTTGATCAGTCCTAAATGAAACCATTCCTCTTCTTCTCTGCTTCCTTACCTTTGCCGTCGTCCTCCGGATTGCGCGTCGCCGCCCTCAGAGTGTGGAAGTAGCCACTGGTTTCCTGACTCCTATAGTGCAAACGCATGCAGCAGAACTTCGGCTTCCCGAACAGAGTGGGCTCCGGACCTGCACAAACCCGATCACATCCATTTGTTTCTGTTTTTTTTTTTAATAATCTGCTGTCACTGCATGAATCATATTCAGTGAGGATGTTGCTAAAAGGTTACTGAGAAGCTGCAAGCACACTTTCAGGAAGTGTTGGGTGACTCAGTGAATGCGAACGGACTTCTATGAGTTTAACTCCTCACCGATTTCAATTTTTTCCAATCCCTCCAAGTCGAGACGCTGGTACTGGTTGACTTTATCTGCCTCGTCGTCGTAGCTGAAACGGAAAATAAAGGGAAGTGTTAGTCAGCCGACACAGTGCAAACAGCGGGATGTGAGGTTAGGATCGGACTCACTAAGCGATGTAGTAGGCTTTATCTGACAGGAGTAGCAGAACGTCCACGTCTTTGTTGGTTGCATCAATGAGGCTGCGGGAAAAAATAACAATAAAAACACAGACTGGGCTCCTGTGAAAACATCAGGGCTGCATCTTTAAACCTGGTTCCTAACTGGTTCTGTTAATATAAGTGAGTTTCATTGTATTATTGCGTTATTACGACTTTGTACTGGTAATATTAGAGCAAGTTTATTAAAAAAAAAGGAAAAAAGGTAAACAACATTAATAAAAGATGCTTTAATAAAAGTTTATTAGGGAAACTTTGTTTTCATACTATTTTCATGTTTTTATTCTTGAATTATTAAGAATTTATTCTTGCATTATTATTATTACAACTTTAGTTTTGGATTTTTGTAACAACTTAATCTTATTGTTATTACATCTTTATTCTCATATTTTTGCAACTTTGTTTTTGTATTATTAAATCTTTATCCCATTTATTCCATACAACTTTTTTCTCGCAATATTATGATTTTACCCTCTAAAATATTTCAGCTTTATTCTATTAATTTTTCTTTTCTTACTCTGACACAAATCTGATACAAAACTCCCTGATAAGAAGAAATTTCCTCCTTCAGTTGCAATTGTGACAGATTATTGATGTGTTAATAATAATGTAAATTCGCTTCATGCTGTTTTGTCTCTGATCGGAGGAATCTGGTTTCAGACTGCTCACCTCATGTCGCAGTTGATGAGCGCCCAGCCTCCGTGAAACGTCTCGTCGTCCGGCAGCAGCAGCTGCATGTAGGTCTGCAACAGCAGGCCCACCTGCTCCTGCGCTCCTCTTTGGCTCTCCTTCTCCTTCTCCTCGTGTTCCTTCTCCTTACTGAAGATGGAGTACAGGTCCTCCGTCACGGGCAAACCCATCATCAGATCTGCAAGGAGCCGCAGATTCACCAAAAAGACGGTTTCCATTACATCCAATCAGAGGAGGCGTCAAAAATATTTGTGTATCTTTAAATTATATTGACATGGGCTTTTCTGATGGATTAAATTTTTAAATGGTTTAATTAACATTCATCACGTTCAGCACACATGAATGAAGCAGATGAATTTATCATGACTTATTATAGTCTAATTAAGCCATTACTTTCTATTTTTAATGAGGTAGACTGTCATTTTAACAATAAATAAACGCAACAAAGTGTTTTCTTTGGTTTTCTCTGTTCTGGATGAACTGTGGGATTGTTAAACTTCAGCCAAAGTTTAGATTGCGCCGTCACCTCCATGATCTACTCCGTGCATAAAGTTAAAATTGTTGGACTTGTCTGCAACGTGTAATCTGTCAAAATGACGGAGAGATTTCGAATTTTTCCGTCTAATTAAAAACATACTGGTCAAATATTCTGAGAGCTCCCGTACCGATGACTGCTTGTCTGTAAGCGTCTCTGAAGCGGTTGAGATAGTAGCGGTTGGCAGAGTTCACGCCGTCCTTCATCACGCCAGCCAGCTTCCTCTCCCCCGTCCTCGTGAAGTCTCCCTAAAGCAGAACAAACAGCGTGTTAATTAAAGCTTCAACCGCACTTCATTTGCACTCTTAGGACAGCACAGCCTGTGACAACAACAGTGACATAACCTTTTCTCAGCCGTGTCTAAAGCTCCAGAGTCGCTGGTGTGAAAACAGAACTGGATGCTAAACAAAGCTAGCTGAGGTGGAAGCGGTGCTACCTTGAGGGCGGCGGTTCCTGCGTACTGCTTGCTGATGGTGTCGCCGTTGTTGGCCCACATGACCTGATAAATCCGGTAGCATTTCAGAGGCAGCGGCTGCTCTGGAGGCATCACACCCAGCTTCTTCAGCTGCACGGAGGGAAACATGTGGAAACCAACTTTACAGCTGCACAATGTAACTTCATAAAAATTATTATTGTTTGTTGAAACTGTGAAAAAAGAAAATCAAGCTGCTCTGCCTGGGTAGACACACCTTTTTTTTTTGCAGTCAAAATCAGTGATTTTGTGTTGCTCTTTAGAAACATTTGCAAGGAATTTTGTTATACATTTGCTTAGTTTTCACTCCATAGTTTTTTTTTGCCAACAGAACATAATTTATAATTCAGACAAATGTTGTTTGTCTCAACAAGGGAAATATATTCAGCCTATTTCCAGCCAACTGACTGATACTGAACAGTTTCAGGTGATATTTAGGGTATTTTATAAACCATGCACAGAAAAAAACTCAACTCACTTCCTCTGCTATCAGCATAAAATAGCTTCAGTTCAGATTAGTGCAGCTAAAAACTCAGTAGGCGCTAGAAAATGAGGAAATATGTAATGAACTCGTACTTGCTGCTCCATCACAACTCGCGCAACGGCAGCTTGAACCACGTTGGTCCGGTCGAGACAGTCCATGCAGTTGACCCGGAAGATCCCGTCCTGCTTGCAGATGACGCCAGCTTGGTCCACCCTGACAGATGGAGTCATTAGAAATTAGCCGCATTTATAGAAACACAAATTCAGTCTGATATTAATGAGAATTAGGAATAATGTGTCAAGAAATACTGATTGTGCCACTTGAAGGTCCAACATAAATGAACTTTACTTGTTTAGTAATGTCCAAACAAGAAAAATAATAATGAGGACAATGCAAGAACAAATTAAGATTAATGTTGTTCTTTTGAGCCCCAACGAGTTATGGAACAACTCTGCTTACCATGCCCACTTCATGTCAGTGATGATGTCAGAAATGGCATCTGTCAGTATCTGCACGTTTTCAAACTTCATTCCACGACTGAGAAACAGGAAGTAAGAAGCACAAAGAGGAAGTGAAGCCAGAATAGTGTAAAACGTGCAAAGCCGGTCATGGCTCAGGGTTTTTTCCTACCAGTGCTCGTGGAAGTCAAAGGAAACGTAAGTGAGGTTTGGGTTGTTGTACAGCAGGACCTGCTTCAGATACGCATCCCCGATTATCTTCTCCCGCCCGTTCTGGTCCACCAAGTTAATTATCACCTGCAACAAATTAACGAAGCAACGTGTGATTTAAAGAAAACAACAACTGTGAATGTGTTTGCTCCCATAGGGATTTCTTAAAATAAAAATAATAACTTAAATAAATAATAAAAAGCAGTAAAATTGTGGTTTCATTTATTAAGGGAAAAGACATCATCTAAACCAGTAGAAAAGTAGAGTTAAATTTTTTCAGGAAAACCCAAGAAACTATTATTATTGAATATTTCCATTATTGCATTTATCTCTCTACACTTCTTGTCACTTCAGTTTTACTTTTAGGAATGTACCAATATATTAAGAATAGACCAAACATTGATTTAGATGCCAAAATATTAAACATCCTTCAGTAAGAAACTAGAAAACACTTAAATAGAACCAGTTTGGCTGCATGAAGTAGGTCTCAAAATGTTCTCAATATGCCACATATCAAAAAATTCAAGATTGGAAGCAATAAAATACATTTTCTGGAAAAGGTTAAAAATTTAAATCCACAGATGGAGACAACAGAGTTAAATTCACATTCCTAACCACAGGAAACTCTCCAACATGTCTGCGTTGTTGAGTCAAACTGACCTGCTTTGTGTAAAGCTCAAGCTGCTTCTCAAAGTGAGCAGCAAAGTAAGGCATCGTCTCATTGTCCCCTGAAACACAAAGAGGAGCCAGTCACATTTTTATGACCCCTAATTGTGAACGTCTCCCTGGTTCAGATACGCCAGCTCCGCTGACCTTTCTCGATGCGTGGCCGGGGGTTGTAGCGATATCCGGCCTGGCTCCAGAAGACGGGTACCGACCCGCGGGTCTGGACGAAGGACAGCGTGTGGCTGTGGACATGGATCAGCTGCTCCGTCTCCACGTAGTTCGCCACATGGCCGTCTGTGTCCACACCTCTGCGCTTGTACCGCATCCCTTTAAAAGAAGAGCAGTTCTCATCTTCATCACAGTTCAATCACTTTCACTGCTGGTGGAAATGTCTGAAACCGTTAAATATGTTTCCTTGAGCAGGTTAGGATGGGCTACACAAAACATGTTCTTTATTTTTTTTGTACAAAATCATTCTAAGATAATCAGATTTTAGCCTGCTCACTTTCAGAATGAGCCAGAAACCATCTCTTACAAACACAAAACTCTTGTCTTTTCCTGCAGCCATTCACATTACAGCCCATACAGCCGTAAAACTAGTTGAATAAATGTGCCAGAACTCTGCTGGGGTTGCTAGGTAATGGGCGGAACTCTGCCGGGGTTGCTAGGTAATGGGCGGAACTCTGCTGGGGTTGCTAGGTAATGGGCGGAACTCTGCTAGGCTTGCTAGGCAATAGGCTGGGGTTCACTGATTTGCGACATTACATTCAGCAGTTTTTTGAAACGGCTCATTTTGCCAAAAAACAGATGGGTGTGTTTTTAGAAGCAGTTTAGACCCAAATGAAAGTACAAAAATAATAAGCAAAATGTGAATTTATCACTTTAAAATGAATTTATCTTGCATTCGACATACATATTCCTACAATGTTGATAAGCAATGTGTTAACTAAAAGCGTGTAGTCTCCTGCTGCAGCACAAGAAAAACAGAGATCTTTGACCGCTCCTCTTTGCAGAATCTCGCCAGGTCGGATTCTTGACCTCTTCTCTTCAGCTCAAGAGGTTTACAACAAAACTTAGATCTATGGACTGAGTTGGGGGTGGATTAATCCTGATTTTGGGCCTAATAAAACCTTCCTGTGCTGATTTGGAAACATGTTTTTGATCATTGTCCTGTTGTAAGACCAACCTTCCAGTTTTCTTTATATTTATAATGTGAGATGCAGAGAGAAGTCAGCCCACAGCATCACTGATCCTTCACCAACCTTAGCAATGGGATGATATGTTTATTTTAACATTCCCATTTTGAATCATGACTCTTAAAAAAAATTACAAAAGTTCAGTATTTTTAATCAAACACTTTGATCCAATATTTAAAAAGTTTGCTTCAGTTACATCTGTTCACTACGAATCACTGTCAGTAAATGCGGGAAAAATTATTTAGTTTAGTTTTTTTTCTTAATGCAGGATTATTACCCCACACTGAATGAAGGTAATCAGAAGTAAGGTTGGATTTTTAAAGTTTTTTAAACTGCGGCAACAAAAAGTCAGCCAACAGAGCGCGTTAACTCAACGCTCTCCTGAGTCCATGTAGGACTTGGTGTGAACGCCTACCTGCGCGGTGGCGACTTCGTCTGGAGATCAGCGCCACAGTGAAGCGAGGGTGAATGTCATCGACGCAGGTAATCTCTTTGGGCGGAGTCTCTGGGCTGCTGCGCTCCTCATCTGACGTGTCGTTGTAGTTCACCACCAGTTCCTCCACCTGGACGAAGCCTTGGATGATCGGAATAACCCACAGGTCAACCTCTGGGACCTGAAATTACAGGGTTTTTTAGTTTAATGCTCAAAAACATTCATTTAGTGGAATCAGAATCATAATAGATGATTTTGATTCAATCTTTAGGTATTAGTTACCTGAAGATTGATGACATCCTGGATCATGTGTTTGTTCCAGAAAAAACGGTCGTCCACCTTAAAACAAGAGACAGTCAAAGTGAAAACAGATTTAAACAAATCAGCTATTTATATAGATATTTATATTTGTGTACAGTTTTGGAGTTATTACTGCTCTGAATAGGTTTTTAATGAGTCTGTATTCTCCAATTAATGATTAATCGATTACTAGTCAACAATTAATCGTTTCAGCCCTAAAATTTCTTTAGTCTCACCACTAGCAATCAGTGAGGTCTCTCTCCCACCTGTTTCCACAGAGGTAAGCTGGACTTATCCGAGTCTCCCTGCCGCTGCACGCTGTTGGTCAGGTCATAGGTCATGCTGTAGTAGAAGGAGTCTGAGTCCATGAATATTTTGTAGAGCTCGTCTAACAGTCGCCGCTCCAGGCGCTCCTTCTCTTTGTTTTCCTTAACCTGGAACGCAGGGGAATACTGAAGGAGGAAGCGGCATGAGACGCGTCAAAGGTCAGAACATCAGGACGGTAAAAGGTCCGTTTGAACAGAAATACCTTCTTCTTCATGGGAACGGACACGTTGGATTTGATCTGACTCAGAGTTTTCATCAACTTTGATTCATCTGGAGACTGGGCCGGTTTCTCCGTTTTGTCGATTCCAAAATGATGCTTCTTGCAAAGCTGCAAGGAATTAATTAAAACACTTATTTTCAGCTCAGGAGATCTGGTAGCATCTCTCTGCAAACAAGAGCTAAAGGGGAAGGAGTTTCCATTACTCACTAAAGTTTAGTCACGTTAAAACCACACACTTCAGTAAATGTTACGTTTCAGCTTTATCTAACTGGAGCACCTTCTTCGACATGTTACTCGAGAAAAAACATAATCACGACATCTTGATGCGTTCTTAACAATCCACCACACTGAAAAAATACTAAACTTACAAACTTAGAATCTAGTGAAAATATCTTAGTACAATTAAAATAACTTGTATGTAGTTTTTCAGCAAGACATAGGAGCTTGTTTTAAGTCAATAATTCAAAAGTATTAGTTTTAATGTCAGTTTATTTCAGTTATAATATGTCTTGTTATAAGTGAAATAATTTGGCTGTAGAAGAGGAACAATTTAATCAATGCTGAGGAATTATTTACTTAAAACAAGCTCCTATATCTTGCTGAAAAGTTATATAAGAGTTAGTTTTGTCTTTTTCCAACTGTACCAAGTTATTTTCACTGAAAACTAGACCAAAAATACTTGGTAAGATGTTGTATTTTTGCAGTACATTTTTCTATAAAATGTCAGATTTATAGAAAGAACAACTAATTATTGTGCTGCAGGTCATCCAACTGTGCTAAAAATCCAACCACAGCACTGAGGTTTCATAAATTGAGTTTAAAGGCCCGTAATGGCGGGATTGTAAATTGAAATCCTTTCTCCATGTTCAGATGATGAATTGAACAGACAATGTGAGATGTTAAAAGCTTGGGATGTTGTTTTATAACCTAACTCTGCTCAAAATTTCTCCAAAACACACAAACACAAAAAACAAATGCAACAGAAAAAAAAATGCTAAGAATAAAAAATGTTGCAGTCGCACAAAATAGAAGCAAAATTTTTCAATTTGCAAAACAAATGCAAATGAAAAACGGAAAAAATGTGGGAACAGTAAAAACAAAATGAAGGTCCTCCAAACCACTAGAGGGAGTCCCGTAAAGACGGGATGTTATGATTTAATGGGAAGTCCAGAAGAAAGTTGGAGGAAGAAAAGTTGCATTTCACAATATTATAGAACAGCGGCATCTTTAGGTGGGTGGTACTAACTGCTCCAGACTCCCCCCAGTGGCCTGGAGGACTTCCATTTTGTAGAGGGAGTTTCAAATTTGCGGTGGTTGCAACATTTTTGACTTGCATTTTCTGACAATTGCAAGTTGTTTTCTTTCTGAACCAGAGCCTCCTGCAGGATGTCAGGAGAATTTTTCTTTTGCATAATGAACAAAAATTACACAATGCTCTAGTTTGTATATAGTTTAAAAAATATCAATTTAAAACGCCACATATGTAAACTTTTAAAGAGCCTCAGTGAAAATGAACGAAACTTAACTCGTTGGTGTAGAAACTGGTTGAAAATTGATCCGTTAACTGCCTGTTCATGTTTGTTTGCTAAAGGTGGAGATGAGACTGAAAACTGATCTTTATTAAACATTTAGACTACCAAGAAGAAAAAGACACAATCAAACCTGACTTTATTACCCTGTGAGAATAACTCAAAAATACTTTTCTTACATAAAGTTTTTATTTATGTCTTAGAAGGAATGGAAAGAAATGGAAAGCCAATGACTGACCTGTTTTACTTTTGTATTTTGCACATAAATTTGTGGTGCATTTGTATTCTATAGAAAAAGATTTAAAACTTCAGGAATGTCAATAGTGACATATTAAGATATTTAAAAATATTACACAAACATTATAACAAAAAGACTAAGGATTCAAGATGCCACATGAACCAAACAGTGCATTACTATGATAGAATGCTAAATTATCACAAAGGAGTGCAATAATTTTCCAACAGAATTAAATACATTTAATGAAAGAGAACAAAAATTACCACTAGGGGGCCCTGTATTTACCTTCTGTTTTCCATGATTACACTTTTTGTTTGCTGCTCTTTTCTGCTGCAGTTATATTTTTGTGTTTGTGTGATTTGGGGTTTTAATCATCCTTGTGTTTCCGGCTTGTTTCCAGGTTTTCTACGTGTTTGCGCCTTACTGCCCCTGCTTTATTTTGAAAATCATGCATCTGTTTTGTTATACATCACGATTGCGCTCCACCTTGTGTTGGTTGAGTTCATAAAAATCATGCTACAGTTCACTGAAGTCTTTGGTTGTAACGTGCAAAATGTGAAAAGTTTAATGGGTAGGAATAATTTTACAAGCTATTCTTCTGGTTCCAATTTTACATGTGTCAAACTCGAGGACCCTGGGCCAAATCTGGCCCACCATAGCTTTTCATGTGGCCCTCTAAACGGCAAATTACATCAATAAGTCCCTCCAAGATTTTGGAAAATCAACAGATCTCCACATTTTTTGTGATTTTACTGCAAATTTTCATTTACAAAATGGTCAGAAAAGTGGTAATTTTTTACCTATAAACAATGGAGAGAAGAGGAAGTGGAACCAACGGTCTTCACCCACTTCAAAATAAGAGCATAAATAAAAACATCTACAAAACAGCTAAGTAAATTAGCATTTTAGAAATTAGCTGGAAAAAACATTTATTTAGGGGAAGCTAAGTGTGCTAAACTTATTCTAAGTTAGCAAAAATGCTAAAGCGCAAAGCTAAAAAATTAGCTTTTCTATTAGCGGATTAGAAGACGTGTGCCCACCACTTTCATGGGCAACATAAACTTCTTTTTAATACCAGGACAGTTTAAATGCAATTCTGGTTGACTGAAAAAAATCTGAAAATAAACCAACTGTGGTTGGTTTAAAACAGCTTAATTGATGTTGCCAAATTGGTTTTCTACATGCAAGTTAATATATTTTCATAAAAAACTATTGGAAGGAGATCAACTTATTTTTGTAGCCTTACTTGATGTGAAATTATTGATGCAATGAGAAACAAAAGTCACATTTAATATCATATATTGAATATAATAAAATTCCTTTTAAATATTAGCACCATGAATTACGATTTTGATTGCACAAAAATGCAAAGCCAATCATAAAATCTTGGAGGGACTGATCAGTGTGAAAAGATGTTCGATATTATTCAATTTAAAGAGGCAGTTACTCATTAATATTTTGACAGTTTAATGGTTTTATCAATGTAAATGAGTTTGACACCCTGATCTACAGCATTTCTACAACAGACATCACTTCCACTCTGCTGTGCAGGAACCAACTACGGCTCTAAAAGCTTCTGCTCTACTCGTCGTCCTCCGTTTGTTACTCACTTGAAAATATTCAGTCTCACCATCCAAGAAGCCTCCCTGAAAAACTGAAATCTTAGCATCGTTCAGCATGTTTGTTATCATTTTTTAAATGTCATTTCAGGTGTAGAACTATATTTTTAGCAACCCAGAGCTAATTTCCCACCACTTGCAGCTTCAGGGATGAATCACGCTCTGACTCATGTTCGGTATTCTGAGGAGAAATCTGGGATTTCCACATGAGTGTGTGATTTACCTCCAGCTCCAGCTCCTGAGGCTCCTCGTCAGAAAGGGGGATGACGGCGATTTTGGTGATCTTGTAAACCTTGTGGTCGCCCGGTAACTGACCCACCAGCGCTTTCTGGCGGATTAATACGAGACCGAGAGGAAGGTCTGCAGAGAGGGGAGAAAAACAAAAGGACAGAGGGAACTGGGTCAACTGGTGGAGAACCGCGAAGGTGTGAAGACGCTAGCCATAGCTTCTGTTAACAGAGACGCATCTGGTAAAAATGTAGTTATATGATGCTGATTTGTCTGTATGTAGCACTTTTAACGCATATTAAAGATGTGGAATAAAACCTTAAGGTAAAACCATCTTCATCTGCACAAACAAAATCTCACACTTAAACGCTGAGAAGATTAATCCAATTTAAGTTGATTTAGATCAATATATTTTTGGAGCTTGTATTGACCTTATTTTACTTTAAAAAGCAGGTACTCAAAATGGGAAAGAAAAGCGAACACGTCGTTAAGAGTAGATACAAGCTTTGTGAAGATTTTATCAATTATTCTGGTGATTAATCAAATAACAAAATTGACACATTCTGCCAATTTTTTATTTAGAAACACATTAAAAAATACAAATAAATAATTCAATTACTTTTTTTTATAAGAAAATAGACATTTTATTACCTATGATAAACCAACACAACTTGATCATTTGCAGCTAAAATATCAACATGTGGGCTGACCTGTTAGATTATTTCAATAATCTATTAATACATAAACATATCACCTCAGCAATCCAACATGGTGGCATTTTTTCCTCATATTGGAAAGTCAGAGCAATAATTAAAACCTATAAAGCAACTGGAACTAAAACAAACAAAGCTGAACCAAGAGATAATAAGGTTTTTTTTTTTGGTTCCTGTACATTTCTTTGTTTTGTTTTTGGTGGAAGAAAACAGAAAAATATAGAGAGGAGAGGAAGTGGAACCAAGTCTTCACCCACTTCAAAATAAGAGCATATATATCAACATCTAACTACCTGAACAATTTCAGTCTCCAAAACTATAAATTTACTCAAATTAAAGGTTCAAATTTTCAAAACGGCTGAATTATACAATGATCAAAAAGATTAATTAAGTTTAAGGCTTTTTGGAAATCTTTACCAAAGGTGTCACTAAGATTAACATCGAGTCTTCATCCATGCTGAGGCCTGCAGAACCAGAGCCCAGATTGCTCGTCTTTCCACAGAGACACATTTTTTAACACCTCTACTCATGACAAACATTGATGACACGACCGTCCTGAACACATGGAAAAGTACGGGCCAGAGACAAACCAAAACCAGCTGAAACCGTTTTCATCCCCACGCCTACCAGTGTGCAGCTGAATCTTTCCGATGACTCCGTCCACCAGACCCAGGCAGACCGGGTTCCAGGCCAGCAGCAGGTCTGTGGCTGAAATCACAGAAGAAAACATCACTGACCAAATGACACAAAAAGATGTTTCTGGAGCAGGAATGTGACCAACGATTGCTCCAGTAATCAATTACTCTGAAAATTAAGTGATTATTCTGATAACTAATCAATAATACTGATGATTAATCGGTTATTTTGACAATCGATTGTTGTGAGGATTAATCAATTATTATGACAAATTATTCAGATGAGTCCTCAATTATTCTATTAATTTATTATTTTCACAAATTAATTGATTATTCTGATTATTACTTTAATATTCGGACGATTGATTAATCGCATTAAAAAATATTTCAATTGAGCCAATGTTAAAAATACATTAAAAGATTAAAACAATTAAATTCATTTTAACAGAAGAAAAATAATAATGTTATTACCTAAATTACAATAACAGAATTCTTTTAGTGAATGTTTGATCATTTGTAGCAATTTTTTAGCATTTGCAACTGAAATATATTTCTAGTCCTTTATATTTCACATCAATACAGAGCATAATTGATCGGTCAGTTATCTTTGGAGATTAATTGAGTAATGATTGGGCAAAAATGGCTGAAATACACTTTGCATGTTAAATGCAAAATGTATTTTTATTTTGTGAAGTCTTGGCTTAATTCCTGACTTTAATATATTGTTTTTTAATCAGAAAATGGTCTCAGTTTAGTTGCCGATAATTTCAATAATCAATTAATCACAATTAATCGCAATTAATCCAAGTAATCATTCAGCCCTGTTCTGAAGACGTGTGAGCGTGAGAACCTGTGATTCCAACAACAGATGAAGAGTTGTTTAAACAGAAAAGGGATTAAATTAGTCTCTGCTGTGTTTAAAATTATGGGAACAGAAACAGGAAGAGTTGGTCTACATATTTCAGAAGCGATCAAGTTCAGACGCATGATGTTGGAAAACAAGCTTTAAAACTAAAAGTAAAACTGTAATGAAGTAGCCTCTCTTTTTTAATGTGGAGACAGTTCATGGTGAGAAAACAAACTGGAATGCTCCACATTAGTAATGGAGTCTGGATTAGAGCCTGGGGAAACTGGCAAAAGATGGAGGGTGTGGCTAGAGGTGGAGAACATCAGCTTCAGACAATAACTCTTCCTGTTCCAACTAAATGTCCAGACGAGGAGGGAAGACCTGCAGATCGAGAGAAAGGGGAAAAAAACACACAAAGTTCCTTCGGAAAGCTGGCCATCATGGAAGTCCTTTCTTCGTTTGTGCAGAGCAAAGCGGAGTGGAAACTCAGCGAGGAGTGAAAACCCTTTTTCCAATTAAATAATGAAACAGCGGTGCAACCAAAGCCCCGTTCAGGCCGACTGCACAGCTGACACAACGGGATAATGTGCTGGGCCTTCTGGGGACTTCAGTGAAAATATTTTCTTTTGCTCCAGCAGACCTGAATTTATAACTCCCATAAAGACACAGCAACAAAAGTGTCACAACTTGATTTCTTATTGAAATAAAACTGGAAAAAATAGATTTACTAAACAAAAGGTAAATGTTTCATAAGTATTTAAGTCTGCAAATAATTAGATGTATAAATATTTGTGTGTGTATTTTGAGCTTTATGGTAAAATAACTAAATATTAATAAATACCTGCATATTAAAGGACTTCAATTATTTAAGTTGAGAACACAAAGAGTCAACAATAAATTACTCAATAATTTTTCTTTATTTTGAAAATAAAATTGGAAATAAATAAAAGCAAAATCTGGCTGATACGAGCGTTTCATATCAGTCGATATCAATAATTATTGATTAGTTTTTGTTTTAAATATTTGAAATTACCTTTCCTGTTTTATCCTGTTTTCACTCTACACTGTTTTTTTTATTTATTATTTTTAAGCCGCAAAGAGGAATGGTGGCAGTTATCGAACAGGTTGTTGCTAGGTAACCAAAGAGCGAGTGAGTTGCTAGGTAACCAAAGAGCGAGTGAGTTAGTCGATTCCACCAGAAGCTAAAATATTTTCCTCTGCCTACAACTCCCAGAATCCTCAGCGGTTCTGGATCAGAGTTCAGTGGATATTTCATAAATTGATTAATGAATTAATAAAGAACGATTTGTAGCAAATTATTAGCAGATTAACACCATTATGCTGGAAACAAATGAGCTGGTTGGCAAGGTTTCTTATAATAGAAGCTATAGGATCACGTTATACTTTATGGGTTCTCAGGCTTGCACTGCATTTCAGCCAAAAACTTCTGTTTTGGTTTCATCATACCACAAGACATGTCTCTGAAAACTAAGATCTTTATCTCTAAGTGCATTTGCCAGCTGTAATGTTGATATCGGAGTAATGGTAACATTACTTTGATGTTGCCATTACAACATCAGAGTATACACTATTTACTCTGTATACTGATGACAGTATTCACAGTTTTACTGTAAATACTGATATTTTGCATGGTTGAACTTTTGCACTCATCTTCGTCACCTAATTTGTATTTTTTGATGATATCGCACAAGGAAGCAGAAAGTTTTAGGTGTTACCTTAAAATACATCCACATGTATACAAACATTTGCCTTAAATGTTAGAAATTTGAATATAAATCCACGATACCATCATCAGGGGTTAGGTCTGTCATGAAAACTAATTTTACTGGATGATAAATTGTTTCAGAAATTATTGCGATAGACAATAACATTGTTGTATTGCAACCATTTTCACATAATATATTGGTAACTTCACTCTGTCAAAACTAAACTTTAATTTTGCAAACAACACTTAACACTAGAACAGGGAGATATTTTAAATATCTAAAATAAAACAACTAAAATTAACAATAAAGCCTATGTAAACTAAAAAATATATATACATTAATCATCAGAATGGAAATAATCAAGCTAATTTAAATGTATAATGCGATTAATTGATTATTGTATGTTGGGGACAAGCTTATCTTGGCTTTCCTTAACTGTTTTAAAAGCACAATAATCTTAGTCTAACTCCTGAATGAATTACTTCTGCTAAAATAGGAATTAATTTCTCAATTTCAGATATTAAGGAGGGAAAAAAAGTAACTGCTTTGTCATGTAAGATCAGTAAAACAGCTGTAGAAAAAGAACTTGTACTGAAGAATACTTGAAACTTATAATTTAGAGGGTAATATAACAAAGACAGAATTTAAAAGTAAATATTTGCGACTTCTTAAAAAGGAAATTCCATTTACGTGTAGACATCTAAGGTGGCTAGAAAAACCAAAAATTGTACTCAACACTATATTTTTATTCAAGTAAAAAAATATTTAACTCAAATAGTGAGCAACTGATCTAAACATAAATCATTTAATATTTAAATTAAATTAAACTAATCAGATGGACCAAAATATAAAGTTATGTGAAAAATTTGTATTCTAAATATCAAAATGAAAATAAGTAACTCTGGTGGAAATAATATAAAATATTACAATTACAGCTTTCCAATTTCTGTAAAAGCTGATATATATACCTGCATAAAGGGGAGGGCATTTATCGTATCGTTTATCATTTATCATGATACATTTCTTATAATAATAAGAGTTATGATTCATTGCTAATTACTCATTAATGCTATTTAAAAACCCCTACACCTGTTTGTATTGTTTGGATTGTTGAACTATTTTCTACAGTTTTTTTCCCCAATGGCAATATGAATGAAAATCAATGAATTTTAAAATATGATTAGTTGCAGTTACTGTAGCTTAGTGACAGTTGCCCTGAAGAAGTGCATTACAAATGGGAACGTTTTTCAAAAGCAGTAATTCTGTCTGATTGCTTTTCTATGCATTCACAGCCAAAAAAAGTAGTAATAAATAGTTCTTTTCGTGACTTTTATCTTTACCACAGAATATCGCGATAAAACGGAAGTCCATATATCGCTCACCTGTATGTGGACGCATGTTCTTATTTACTCCTGCACGTTCCTGCGTGGTGTTTAGTTTACATCAAGCGGTCAAATTCAAGCCTCGGTCTGCAATCTGAGAAGCAGGCTGACAACTTTGAAGTCAGTTTGGGGTGTTGGCGCTCCCTGAATAACAGCCGAGCGATGATTTACAATAGAAGCGCGTCCAAAAACAGACAATAAAAAGGATAAAACCGGCGTGTTTATCTGTATTTGACCCACATCGGTCCGTTTGATCATATTTACTGATAACATTCAGGTTTCAGGGAGGATGGCGGAGGAATTAGCAGAGAATGGGGGGATTTGAGATTAAAAAGTCACCAGGAATGTAAATGAAACCGTTTCCAGCAGCTGTCATCGGTACCTACCGGGTCTGACAGCCATGCTACCGTCCTTCCTGCTGCACCACAGCGCCTGGTCCCCGCTCTGAAGAATGTAATGGTCTTTAGCCTGAAACAGCTCCATTTTCCTCCTTCCTCTCTCGCAAACTCCTCCACCTCGAGGCGCGTCTCCCGGACCCGGTGCGGTTCTCCCTCCGCTCGGAGGCTAACGCCGGAGCTAGCCTAGCCGCTGTTAGCTCGGCTTTTTCTTCTTCTTCCTTTTCCACCGCTACGAGAGATGGCGGGTGGCTGCGTCCACGGCTAACAGCAGCTGTATCCGAGTCGGATTTGGTTATTCCGCCTCTACATGCTGATATTCAAAGTTCCCGTGGACAGGAGGAGAGGAGGCAACCTTCCCACAGTCACACCGGGGGGTAGACGCTCATCACTGAGTGGGGAACTGTCTGTGTCGCCGTTCAGGACGTAACCGACGTTTCCTGCTCCAAACAAGACCACGTGACCTGACGTCATCAGCGCTGCACAGGTACAGCAGGAAGCAGACGGTTGAAGCCTCCCTGCTTCAACCGTTTCTTGCGCACACCTGGAACAAATGGCAACGTGTCAGTGTTATTTTAGACAGAAAAAAGAAGTAAATTTCTGCCCATCAGAGAAAATCAAAAGTTTTGAGATTAACGAGGAAATTTCTGAGATTAAAAAGTAAAAATTTGCAAGATGAAAAAAAATCTAAAAGTTTGAGAGTCATGTTGAAACAAAAACATTTCATAAATTGAAAAGTCTAAAATTTGCTTGAAAACAACAATTCAAAACTTTTGAGATTAATCTAAAAAAAATCTTTAGGAAAAGATTGGAAATTTCTGAATTTGAAAAGTCAAAATTTCTGAAAAACAAATCTGAAATTTTGAGCTCACTCTCAGAAATTTTCTAGAAAAAACTTCCTGTCTGATTTTATCACATTTTCTTTTTAAAGATTACCAGCTTTCCTCTCTGTCGCCTTACAAACAAGGCGTACTTGTTGGATATTTTTCTATTTATAGTTTTGTTACTGGGCGAGGGTCAGACAATATTCTCAGTCATGACTCGAGTGCTCCTCAGAGAAAAGCAGCTGACCTAATAGAGACATCAGTCTTGCTCTTTCAATGCGCCCTGCTTCAGGCAAACAATTATGCGTGTTGTTATGATGGGTAACCATTGCAACATGGTATTGTTTTTACAGTTGGAACAGCTGAATAGCACCTCTGCAGCTCAAATAGCACCTCTTTTAAGGAGGATATCCCGTACGCCAACATCTCTCTGTATGACCTGACAAAAACTGCAAAAGAGCTGACAGACTTGGTTCTTTTAAATTAAATCAGCTAATTAGCATCTCAAAAGCTCAAATGATGCATCTTTTCAGGGAAGGTATCCCCTACTCCAACATCTTTCTGGCCAGACGACCTTACAGAAAATTGCCAAACAGCTGAAATACTGAATTCCTTTAAATAAACGTTAAAACATCACAAGATTCTTGCTCTTGAAAAGCCTTCAAGTGATAAATATGCTCAGCTTCAGACAAACAAATGAAATATGTTGGACACGATGCATAACTGTGACACCAAAGTATTTTGCTTTTGCAGCTGGAAGAAGCTGGCTAGCGTCTTAAAAATCTCCTTTAAATAACACCTTTTTAAAGGATGATATCCCCTGCCTCCAACATCTCATAAGACCTGATAGAAAACTGCTAAACAGCTGAAACAATGAGTTTCCTTTAAAGCAAGCCTAAAAACCCACCTGTTAAGAGTTGCTTTCAACCCATAATAACTGGAATATTGATTTGTGTTATTGATTTTGATAATGGCATTAGACAAAGTGATTTAATGTTTATGACTGGTTTTATGTATGCTGTTTTTAAGAATTTATATTTTTGTGTTTTTATGATGTAAAGCACTTTGAACTGCCTTGTTGTCAAAATATGTTATACAAATAAACTTGATTGATTTAAAAAGATGCAGCAAAAGCAAATGAGGTGGGTTAGCAATGCTTGCAAACAACTGGTGTTGTCGTCCTACATGTCACTATCATCTCTGCCACCTGGATGTAATATAATGACAGTCACTAGTCTGTAATAGCACAGCAACATTCTTCAATCAGAAGCAAATTTGGATTTGTTGTAAGCCTGACTGCTACTGGAGATCCCTTTGGGATAAATAAAGTACTTTTAAATTTAATTTAATTGATTTGCTCAGTCCAAACTTTCTTTCAAGTTGAAATGCAAACAGATTCTGCAGGAATAAAAATATTTTTCTTCTCAAAAACAAACAACCTCACAGAAAACCAGAAAACTCTTGAAGTGTCAGTCAAAACATTTTATTTTCAGTTATACAAATGTGACTTCCTATAATTAATGATTCACCCAGCTGCTAATGAGCACTAAGCCACGATCCATAATTTGTGAATGCAGGTCCGGCTGTGATGGCTCACAATCTCATCAGTGGCAAATTATCTCACAGACAGTTGTAATAAAATAGTTCCAGGCGGAGGGATACAGATTTGTATTTTTATTTTTTACAGAGGTGTTGTTTTTAAGGCTTTGAGGGCCCGTAATGCGTCCAGACTTATTACGGATTGTGGCTTTGGTAAGTTTATGAGGACATTCTGAGAGTCGTTAAAATGCTCTGATTGTCTCACATCTGGAGTTCGATGTGCATCACACCCTGGCTGGACGATTCACATTCATGTACCAAAAATACTCATAGAAATCTCAGAAACTCTGGACTCTTGGCTGGCAGCAGCAGCAGGGAACCAGCAGACGTTTACACTTCGACACGCGACCAAAACGGATGTGCGGCTGATTTTTCAGCATCTTCCAGGGCTCCTGGAAAATTTTGGAAAATTTTGAATTCGTTTTAAATGTTTTCCAGATTTTGATTGTTAAAGAAAAATAAAAACAGAAAATGGAAAAATAAAGGAGTTCCAGACTTTATTGCATCCATCCATCCATCCATCCAACCATCATCCATCCATCCATCCAACCATCATCCATCCATCCAACCATCATCCATCCATTCATCCATCCATCCATCCGAACTCCATCCATCCATTCATCCATCCATCCATCCGAACTCCATCCATCCATTCATCCAACCATCATCCATCCATCCATCCAAACTCCATCCATCCAAACTCCATCCATCCATCCATCCATCCAAACTCCATCCATCCAAACTCCATCCATCCTTCTGACATCCATCCAAACTCCATCCATCCTTCTGACATCCATCCAAACTCCATCCATCCTTCTGACATCCATCCAAACTCCATCCATCCATCCATCCAAACTCCATCCATCCAAACTCCATCCATCCATCCATCCATCCTGGCAGATTTCCCATTTAAAGCCTCACTGGTGTTGAAACATCTAAATCATGCTGAATTTTTGATTTCAAACTTTGAAAATGAATCAAAATAAACACCAAACATTTTGAGATTTTTTTTTTTTTAGATTATGGGACATTGACGTAGAAAACCGTGCAGGAACCCTGATTCTCAGTGACGGCAAAGTGCAAAGACAGCAAAATCAGCAATATGCCATAAAGCAGCACGTAGTAAACAAAAGCACTGTGTTTTGTGACAAAGCAGCTCCAACAAGAACAGATGGCATTCACTGGGAGAAATTAGCTTCTGTTGACTCAGGCGTTCTGCTTTAAAGCCCACTCGTGTTCTGACTAGATTAAGAAAAGCTTCATAGAGGATTTAATCAGACAAAAGGCAACTCCAAATATCATTTCTTAAGAAAATACTTGCGTTCTCTTCCGTTTATTCATAAAGGCCTCGTACTTGAAACAAAAATATGCTTAACAATGTTATCAAGAAGAACTCACTGATGAGTGCAGTCTTGCTTTGAAGATACTGAACAACAATGGCTTGAACAATACAGTTCCACTGGGCTACCATCGATTATGTGCTGAATGGACATAGCAACACTTTGAATCAATGCATGCAACTTCCACAAATGCTGTAGGTTGAGGAATCTCTTCACTATGAAGTGTTCAGTCATAATCTCTCCTTCGCCATCTCCAGGCTCTCAGTGATCATGCTGGGCTCTCCTTTCTGAGTCAGACTGTCTCTATCCAGTGCAGCCTCACTGGCAGAATGTTCCTCCAGTTGCTCCAGTTCTTCCAGTATCGTCTGCACGCGCCGGACGCCGTCCCGCCTCGCCTGCCGTACGTCCACACGGCCTTCAGGGTCAACAGAGTCTAGCGCCAGCAGCTCTTTGGTCAAGAGCTCCTCCAGTAGCAAGTATTTCTTATCATTTTTCTTTCCGCTGAAGCTTTTCACATCCTGCTCCAACTTGGTGACTCTTTCCAGGATCTGCTGCACTTTCGCCAGCCCTGGGAGTACCGGGCACTTGACCGTTGGGTCTGCCTCAGTCTGCGCAGGCGGGACGTCAGCTGGTGCCTCCTGGGCTTCTGGTTTCGGAGGTATCTGAACCGTGATGTCGGACATGTGGTGTGATGGCGGCTCCTGCTTCTGAGCCTGCGGAGGCGCTTCGTGATGCGTTTGAGGTTGCTGGAACGGTTGTGGTTGCGGCGACTTGGGGACGTCTGCTTCTGTGTGCAGCATTGGGGGAACCGGTGTGCTCTCGGGTTTCTGCTGCACAACTTGATGCTCCTGCTCTGTCCGCTGGGGCATTTCTCTTGACAGGACTCGCTGTGGAGCCTTGAGAGTAGAGAGGAACAGAAAAATAAGTTATTTAATTCATGACCACCGCCCTGTTTCCATCAAAGTCTGTTTTTTTCAGCATGTCTTGAAGTAGAAAGGTTATTAAATTTAAAATAACTTCCTCAACTTTGGAAAAATGGTTTATTTAATTTTTTCCAAAAGAGTGAAAGCTGCAGTATGTGGCTTTATGAGAAATAAAGACTTTATTGTTTTACATACTTGTTAAAATTATCATTATTACAGTATAATATGAGGCTGTTTTCTCCCAGTTCTCCCAGTACAAACTGCACAGATACACCACTCAGTCAGAAACAACCAATCAGAGCCAGGAGGCGGATCTTAGCGCTGCCTGCTACTCGTTATAAAAGTTGCATAATGCATCTTTAATCAACATGTGAAAAAGTTCAAGGGATACAAATATTTTTGCAAGCTAACTTAAATACGTGCAATAATTTTAAAATAATAGTAATGTTAGGAATATCAAACATTTCAAACCTTGAATTCAAACATTTAGTCAGAACAGTTACTTTGTTTATTTATATTTTATTTTAAAATATTTCCGCAGAAAATTCAGAAAAAAATTCAGATGATGATTATTTCAGAATATAAAAATTTCTGATCATATCATATCTCTCAGTGATTTATTCACTTTCTGAAAGAATTTTAATCCCAGCATTTAAAATTTTTGTCATTACTTTTATTTTGTTAGTTTATATCATATAACTTGCATTTTCTTAATGAAAG